TTTATCTCATTTATCTATTTGTAACTATGGCATAACAGAGAACTGCAACTTTATAAGTATCAGAAGTTTAAAATAGAGTAAATTTATAATTAGCATTGTTTTATTATAGTTTGTTTACAATCATATTTGTATTTACCATTGTATTAATGACTTCAAAATCTGATGAACTGGAGCTTTTACAGAATCTTCAGTTTCAAATTTTATATATGTCTTGGTCAGCATAGAAATAATTTTGGTAAATATATGCTTATCTATCTATTTATTCATCTATCTATAAATCTCTCTCTCTATATATATATTTATAAATATATAAATTAAAAGCATGATAATGAAATATTCTCTACTTTAAAATTAGGATTTATGCGAAGCTGCAGATAGGTCTCCTTAAAATCTTAAATATTATTATAATTATAAACATATATATAAATGACACATTTATCTATATATATATTTTTAATTTTATTTGTATTTAAGCTTTTAAGGAGACCCAGCTAAATCTTCGCAAGAATAATAATTAGAAAATAGAGAATATTTATTTGTCAACTTTTTACTTAATACAGTATACACACATATATGTATATATATATTTATATGCATATACGCATAAATATTAATATATCAGAGATTAATTTAAATCTGTATATATTTATCTCATTTATCTATTTGTAACTATGACATAACAGAGGACTGCAACTTTGTAAGTATCAGAAGTTTAAAATAGAGCAAATTTATAATTAGCATTTTTTTAAATTATTGTTTGTCTACAATCATATTTGTATTTAAAATTGTATTTATGACTTTAAAATCTGAGGAACTGGAGCTTTTACAGAATCGCCAGTTCCAAATCGTGTATATGTCTTGGTCAGCATAAAAATAAATGTGGTAATTTTATGCTTATCTATGTATCTATATGATTGTTTTATTATTTATATACATATATAGATGTATAGTCATATTTGCTTTTATAGGTATGACGTTAAATGGGACTTAATTGCGATTTGGCATAAAGCATGCCTTTAGTATTATAAATAACTATAGTGATATATATATTTATTAAGAACTACATCCCTGCATACAGGCATATGCAATTATATAAATTTATATATATATATATATATAGTTTTCGCTTAATATTGGAAACTTAGATACTATTAAATACGCTCTTTTTATAATTGCAATGCTTGCAGATTTGCAATTAATTCCTTTTTAGTGTCATTAGGATTTACCATGACCCCCACGTGTTGATAGCGCAATTATTAAACTGACTGGCGACTGATTCTTGTTCCAGTCGTTTGTTTCTGCCAGAGGAGGCCCCACGAGTGAAGAGCCTGGCATGCGTCTTCTCACCATCACCGTCCAAGACTAATCTGACTGGTTTTAAAGTTAATTTCATAAACCACACAACTGCCTCTTTGCTATCCCCATTTTTTATGTGTTTCTCGGATTTTGAAGCTTTTATCGCCATGTTAAGCACTTAGACATGTTGTCCTATTGAATTGCCCCCTAATTTCCCAGCTTCCATCCCGTCGCTTCCACCTTGTCAGAGGTTAATAAATGGATCTGATGGCGCGGTCATGTGACCTGCATATCGTACGCCTCGGTTGGTATCCCACCTCCTGAGGCCTGGACAGACAAACCTGGACTGCTCACTTTGAAGGGAGGGTGGCCCAGAGACAGGGCTGAAATGGTATCTGGTATATCCCTCCACCTACAAACGATGCTTGTCAATGCCTCGCCATGGCAACACGGATGGCGAAACAAGAAGCTTGTCCGGTAGAATTACTGTTGTCATGTCGTCCTCCACCCACCATCACAATGTTTCTAGGGGGGCTCTTTTTGGACTTTCGCCTCATGAACGTCACACCAACACTTCACCATCCGAAGCTGTTCATGTTTCGCATGTCGAGTCAAGCCCTGTCTCACCCACATGCTCTGCCTGAGCGAAATTATTTAGTTCAGCCAGAATGAAAAATAAAAATCCTGCAGTCATTAAACCTGCTGGTTGTCAGAGAATTGGTAAATTCTTAAATAATAAATAAAGCATCATATCGTCATTTGACCAACTAGAAGTGAAGATGACCCAAGGGGTCAGGAAACCTCAAGAAACTTGGCATAATATGAAGCTTATTGCGTCCGTTAATCGAGTTCGCCGAAAATGATTGAAGCACCAAAGAATGGACTCTTTTTTACCCCGAGTAACGATCTAAACCAATTATATTCAAGAATTTCTGATAATCGCATAATCTACTCTCATCGAAGTTGAGTAGTGTCGTCGCATCTGAAGAGATATACACGATTGCCTAATCAGCCAATTGGCCAGAAAGCATCGAGAAAGTCGGAACTATATGAAGCTTATTGCATCCGTTGATTGCAACGAAAAGTGGTCTCCTTTTCACCTCGAGTGAGAATCTAATCCAGTCAAATTAAAGAATTTCTGATAATCACATAATCTACTCTCAACGAGTTGAGTAGTGTCGTCGTATCTAATGACGAATATAAGATTGTATAATCATCCCTATCGCCTTAAAGTATGATTTATTAGAGTTTTAACATTCCCTAAACAGATTGTACCCGTTTTCATGTTTCACTACATTGCGTGCATGATCCGAGCGCGAATACCGTCTGGCTTTTTGACGCGACTAAGTTTAAGTGAAACTAATTATAACTTTGTAGCAAACAACACATGTTTCATAATTTAAATCAATTTAAATGAACTAGATTAGCCAATTTTCAATTAAAACTAATGCCTATAATCTTGAAAACTATACCATCTCCTCATCATGTGGAATACTGGCATAACATGGGGACACAATCAAGACGAGAGGACGAGGGCAAGTGGACTGTCTCGAAGGCTCTTGGCTGATGAAGAAAGAATGGAGTTTAAGGAATCCTAGTTTTAAAGGAAAAATTTGCCAAAAAAAGGAGCATTATTTCGGCTTCACATAAAGCAAAGTAGGATGAGGGTCTTTGTTTCGTGTGCTCCCTCGTTAGGGTTGCAGGATAGTGTGGATGAGGAAAATCACACCTCCAAGGAACCCCTTTTGCAGTCGCGAGAAAGGCCAATTGATAAAGATGAACTATATCATACTTTGTCAGCTTAAGAGAATGAAGTGTGGATTTTTCCACACTCGTATGAAATTACGGAAAAGTGCCCGATCAGTGATCCTCAACGAACTTAAGCGACCTAGCCTGACTAGAACTCTTATGCAAAAAGCGATTCGCTTAGAATACAATTTACGGATTACTTGTAGCCTAGTCCCATGAGAAGAAAAGAGGATTTAGATGCGAGTCTATCGATAGAGCATGAGTACAAAGTTGAATCAGCCTACAGATAAAGTGTTAAATGGTATGCTTTTGGGTTGGGTGTTAGTATGACCTCAGCTTTGCAACTCGTTCGAGTCACACAAAGACCTTGTGAAATGTACCAAATCCGGCGTCCTCTGCTCAAATAGCCATAACAATTTCCAGTGTCGGATAGGGAAGTTGGTATATTTCTACAATTTTAGCCGTCATCCCACAATTTCATGTCTTATTGAAGATGACTCCACCTGGCCTCCAAAAACGTGTTCCTATAACAGTTAGCCTCATTATTACCATTGGGCGGGACTCGAACTCGGAGCATGCCAACATTCAGCCGAATAGTCGTACACAACCAGGCCTCGATGTCCTGCATGAGACAACTTTGTGTGATCCAGGACCAAGTGAATTTCATATACGTCCTAATTTCTACATCGGAACATACTTAAATCTGCTCAAGCGGTTCAGGCTACTATGACAACGTGTCTGATGACTGCGCTAAACCATTGCAAAATGCATGCTCCTGTGCATGGTCACCACGACCTCATGTACCGATTCACTCGGTCTCGAACTGGCTGGACAAGCTGTACATCAAAAGTCGACGAAAGCACAACTCCTCAACTGACTGGTCAGCGGGTGGCTCGATTTCTTGACATGTAAATCGGTATTCTCAGTTGAAAAATACACTTCAACAACATCTCGTCATGGAAAAGCCAACCAAGAACGAGAGAGTGTGTCATCTGTATTCGGTTACTTTCATCTCCGCTGCGTGCGATATCGCATCTTACCTCCTGTCGGCCAGGTCTCGACTTTACTGGCAGTCAGAAAGACAGAAAGACATTACTTATTTGCGGGTGAGTAGTGTCTGGAGACTACCAGTAAATCAGATATATTGTCTGTTTTCACCCCACTTCGTTTAAGATGATGAAGGAATGGTAGCTGAATTTTCCCACGATGATATGAATAGAGCTGATGTTTTCCATAGCATTGAGGGAAAATTCCACTACCA